AAGTTATTTTGCTCTGTGCAAAAGACAGATATTTGCTGCTTGGACTGGAAGCTGGTTTAACCAAAGCTGAAGTGAAGACCAAGCAGGAGTTGTCCATCTGAGGGACATGTTAGTCTAAAAAACATTTAACCATGAAATGTTCAATTTGTGATGTTTATATGACACCCAGCCCCTCGGCCACATAAGTAGTTTACAAAATTTTTGTAGAGTAAAAAAAAAATAACATCTCGGTGGACCACTTTAGCGTGATGCCCTGAGACGTTGCAGCTGATAGGAGTCATAAAACAGAACAGGGGGATGTTAGATGCCTGGACGCTCCTCTAGATAAATGTGTTAAATGAGTGAAGGAAAATATGAGCACCAAGCAATAACCCTAGGTTCTCCCCTGAGAACCAGACCAAAAATTTTATGTGCAACCCTGGTTATAAGCATTTTTGCATGTCCAGACACCCCTTTTTCAGATAAATTGGGGGTCCGGGGGTGTGGGTGGCACTGATGTTGGGCATCGGAGCTAAATAACAGAAGAAACCTGAAGCTTTTATGTTGAACAGTTTCTGAGTTATAAGCATTTTTGTATGTCCAGATACACCTTTTTCAGATAAATTGGGGATCTGGGGGGTGGGGGGCACTGATTGGTGGGCCTGATGGATAGAGCTTCATCAGAGCTAAACAAACCTTATTCATTCTTTAATTTCAAATGTGATTTATAGTGGCTGACAGATGCAAGTAACTGAAAGCACCACAAACAGTGTAACGTGCCCTCAAACGTGAATGATGCAAAACTCAAAACTCACAAACAGAATCAAACAAATGCAACAAAAAATGCCACAATCACAAAAAATACAGAAGAAAAATCAAATGCACAGGAAAAGTTCTGTTGTACCAAAACCACTAACACTCCCAAAATAAATTCTAGTCAGAAATGCTGCAAACTTGCACCAGAGCTCTAAAAGACTCGAGCACCAAGTCAAATGGGACCAGACCCCTAAAGACATGAGTGGGTTTTCTTGGGTGATACTTTATATTTTTCTGGGAAAACTTGCTCATCAGATAATTAATTCATAATTGATTCACCAGATAATTCTGAGTNTGTGTGTGTCTGTGTGTGTAGGAACAAAGCTGTGAAGGTGAGGAGGCTGATGACCTGCCAGAAGTTCAGGAAACTGTGACTGTGATACCAGGAAGTGCCTTATTGTGGAGGGTAACACCGCGGCCTGCTCACTCAGCACAGGTCAGCGTCTGAAGTTGATCCATTAAGTATCTGTAATCAAATCATGTTACTTTTCTGTCAGAACATAAAAAACAAACACAAATTAGGCARTTAGACAGTATGTGTGTGTTTCTTTGTCAGAAGACAAAAACCTTTCTTCATTTCTTTTCTGTTTTCTTTTCCGGCTTCGTGTCCGTTATGTAAAAACAATCTCAAAAGAATTTCTAACTAGATACTGCTCAGCGGCAACATAATGACCCCGGCACGCACAAATGCACCAGAACTGATTGGTGGGCCTGATGGATAGAGCTTCATCAGAGCTAAACAACCAAAAAAAAATCTTAAGCTCCTATTTTGAACAGTTTGCGTTATAAGCAGAGTTGCACATAAGTGGTGCGCAGGTACGCATGTGCGATCAAAAAAAGAAAAAGCACACCAGATGTAATGTCATAAAGCGCACTTGCGTACCTAAGATTGTACCTGATTGTCTGTCAAAACAACAGTTCGCAGGGCTCTAGAGTGCGACCAGTTTGGTGGCAAATGCGACCTGATTAAAATAAATAAAAAATCCAGCCGCACTGGTGTGAATGGATTGTTGTTTGGTGCTCACCAAGCTGACAGTGGCACCTTGATATAAGGATTAAACGGACACTGCGATGAATAAATTCTAGTCAGAAATGCTGCAAACTTGCACCAGAGCACTAAAAGACTCGAGCACCAAGTCAAATGGGACCAGACCCCTAAAGACATTAAGGAAGAAAAACCTCCTTTTTCTTTCTTTCCTCCAACCTTCTGTTGTATACTATTTATGTTTAGCTGTTAGCTGTACACTTAGCTGTTTGCAAAACAGCAGTTTCTTTCTCTTGTTCCACCAATTCTGCTTTACATCGAAGTTTTGTTTTTGTAGGGAAAGTTGTATTTATTTTGCTTTAATGATCTGAGTGGGTTTTCTTGGGTGATACTTTATATTTTTCTGGGAAAACTTGCTCATCAGATAATTAATTCATAATTGATTCACCAGATAATTCTGAGTTTGGTGAGTTTCACCACCCCAGGAGCTGTGAGCTAATGAGGCTAGTTTCCAGGGGTCGGATTTATAAAACTGGCGTACGCACAATATGAGCCCAGAAACTTGCGTACGCCACTTTTCACGCC